TTTCGTTTAAAGAGGAATTGCTACCCACCCCTTAGATGAGTACCGCTTACGGTAAAAGCCTCCAATCGAGCTCAGCCTACACCTGCGTGCAAAGCGTACTCGAGTAGGAGCAACCGATTCACTACTCATTCCCATCCGCCACTACTCGCGCATTCGAGGGACTTTCTAGCATAATCATAGCGTCCTTAACTCTTATACGCTGCCGTCCATTCCGCCGTATCCCGTGAGGCCGGGTGTATAACGGTGGTAATACGCAAGTTTCGTGCGAAGGTCACAGGTACAAGACAGCCTCTTCTCTAAGTTCCCGCCAGGGGCGTCGCCACGTGCCACGACGAATCCATTCCCATTGTAACAGAGGCTAAATTTTGGAACATTTCTGTTACCGCGTAGTACAGATGGTTATGCACCCTCCCCCGTCTATGCAGACTGGATCTGGTACCCTAACCCTCGTGTGACTCTGCTAAGGCACTCTAGGCCGACATGAGTACAGCTTGTGCTTTATAGAGGTTGCCACGCCTTCAGGGCTGCACCATTATTTTGCGCCCGGACACCCCCCCCCCCTTGTAACCAAGGGTTGGGAGAGGTCACAGGGATCCCCAAGTTTTCTAAACATTGATGAACTTTGCCTCTATGAGGTGTGGCATTACCATACAGAAATCGAAAATCCCTGCCAGTGAGATACCTGGTTTGAGGGATGTATTCCTCGATAAAGTCTTGGACTGCGGTGACGTTGCCTTGAACAATATGAAGTCCAGTTCGTCCTCCAGTGTAAATCCCAGGCCAGACCATTAAACCGCCTCCTCCAAACTGTGAAGGGAACACGAACTGACGCATTGTAGTATCCCCTGTTTTGGTAGACACTTCGGCACATGTTATCACTATACAGACAGAAACGTGACTGCGGTGAAGTTGGCTTGAACAATATGGAGTCCAGTTCATCCTCAAGTGTAAATCCCAGACCAGACCATTACATTGCCTCATCCAACTATACGGAAGGGAACACGAACTCGGGCATTCTACGCATCCCCTGTCCTCGGTAGACTCGTCGGTCACTTGCTATCACTCTGCAGACAGAAACCCGACTCATCAGTAAACATTGGTGTCCTCTTCTGGAGTTCGCTGCACCATATTCTCTTGTTGCTGGTTGCTGGTGGCGGGCTGTTTCTGCAGGACGTCCCAAAGGGCATACGATATGAGGCCAACTTCCCCCAAACGATTTCGAAATGTATGTGTTGATAGCGGGCTTGGTAGAACATCTTGTACTTCTTTTAAGATCTGGCGGGCACTTTGGAAAGGAAAATGTCTTTCAGCAATGATATTTCTGTCCTCCCCTAGCCTCGTCTACTGAGATCCACTACCAGGCCTTTGCGATATCCACTCGCCGACAACCAAATTATGTTTTTTCATGGTTAAAGAGAATAAAACTTGATTAAAATGGAGAAAGGGCTAGAAAAGCTTCGTATTTATTATTCTTAAAAATGAGGACTAAATTTTGTTTGTTTTTGGTTTGTATTATCTATTTTTTTATCCAACTAACAAAAATATATCTGTTAATTTTATTAAAATTAATAGAATAAGAATAAATTAATAATATCCATAATCATTTTTTGGCAGTTTATTTAAATTATAGTACAATCATTAGTCTGAATTTTTACTTTTGAGATAATATTTTTGTTGTTTCATGTTTTTTACATGTGTGTTTAAAGAGGGGGAACTGAATTTAATCAAAACGCGTCTCCCGCCTTATTCTAGAATCCGTTCCATTGTTTTAGCGATTTCCACGAAATAGTTGATTTCAGTAATAGATTAAACAAAATGAAAGTGTCTAAAATTTATGATCCAAAGTATTACGAAAAGAATTATGTGAAGATTTCACAGTAGATCAAGAGAAATCGCTAGCATTCCCATAGCTTTCTTTAATGGCTGGAATGTTCTAGTACCGAAAATTTTTTTTTATTAATTATCTTTCGGCGTTTTATTAAAATTGTTTTAATTACAATAATAAATTTAGCTGAATATCACTAAGCAATGTAACTCTTGTGATTATATGTACATCTTATTGATCTCGGGCGTTTTTTCCTGTACAAAACTTTCATTTTTCATGTGTTTTTATATAGTTATAAGTAATTACCACATTAAAACCAAGAAAATTAAAAAAAAAAAAGGAAAATATATATCCATCAGAGACCATCTTATCCATTAAATGAACTAAATTGACGGGTTTTTTAGCCAAACCAGGGCGTTTAAATTTATGTTGCCTAAAAATACTTATTAATTTGTATCTGTACCAAATTAATTATAAGAGAATTTCAGTGCAATTTTATGTTACATGCTGTTCATACTTTGGCATCATTGTATTAACACATTACTCGTACGTAAGCAGACCTGCGGAAATAATTTCAAGAATTCGTTTACAAAAATGAATGTGTTATATCAATTTTGCCAATTATAAATTTTCCATGGACGATTTTTGTCCACTAGCGTTAAGAAGCTACAAGGAATTAGCAGGTTTACAAAATTGAAAATAAGTCTAATAAATCTCTCTATTTATTTTCTCTGTCTCTCTCTCTTAGTCTGTCAATCCACTCTCTCTCTCTCTCTCTCTCTCTCTCTCTCTCTCTCTTTCTATCTATCTATCTATCTATCTATCTATCTTTCTATCTATCCACCTCTATACACATCCAAACAAGTCCTTGCGCATACAAAAAATTATTAATTTTCAACAATATACTCAATGTACGTACACATTGAGAAAACAGTCTTTCCCTCCATTTTACAACAACAAAGATATACCGATTCCATTCAAGTCAAATACTTTGGACTGTACCTAGATAGCAGATTGACGTGGAATCCCCAAACAAGACTTAACAGGCAATAATTTAACAGGAGAGTAGAACAACTACGAAGACTTCTAAAGGATCAAAATATGCCTTGACCGTCAATACTAAACTGACCTTATATAAGACTTTACTGCTACCACTTTGGACATACGGAGTGGCACTGTGGGGTTCGGCCAAGCCATCCTACATTTAATGTATCCAATTCTTCCAATGAAAAGTCCTCAAACAAATCGTCAAAACTCCTTACTACGCCAGTAACCTCACTATCCACGACGACCTCAAAATTCTTTTTGTCAACGAACCGATCCGTTTCCGATTCCAACCTGTCGATCCATCCTAATCCTACTGCCCGTGCCCACTCTACATATTCCCATCCCAAGAACGGTCACGTTGCCTTAATCTACGATGACCTCGGGACCTCCTTGGCCCTTAATCCATAACACAGAGTGCCAGCAATTGCTGGTTTCTCATGCCATGTGTCTTCCGGATGCAGCGCTGGCATTATTGTTAGTATGGTGACCATATGAAAAAAAGTTTTGTAATCACATTTTTAATAAGTACGAATAATAAAATAATAATAAATAGGGTTCAAATAAAATAATTATTTTTTTCAATAATGATTACACTACAAAAAATAATGCTCTAGAAAAAGTTTATAATTAAACAATATTTGTTCATTTTAGTTTTCAACCATTTTCCTGGGCTATTCCCAATTCTACAGATGCTAGTAAATCATTAATCATAATTAAGGTATGCCTTCTGAAAATTTCCGATATCAATTTAGTTCTCGCTTTGATTTTGCTTATTATTTGTAAGCAAAAAGTAATCATAAATATTATCGTATATTATATTATTATTATAACAATATTTGAGAAAACTCAAATATTGTTATAATAAACTAATTACTTTTTGTTTTTAATCTTTGTTCAAGAACTGTTTTTTAATAAGTTGATAGCGAGCATGGACTGGTCAAGTTAAGAATCTATTGGTACAAATTATTTTTTTGAAGTCGTGAGCGATCAAGAATGAGGTATTTTAGAAAAACACCTTTTTCATTTTTTTCGACGTTTCGACCTTTATTCGGGTCATCTACAGGACATAAATTCTGGTGCTATTCTTGGGTGTGTTTTAGCACCACGTTTTATGCCTGAAGATGACCCGAATAAAAGTCGAAACGTCGGCAAAAATGAAAAAGGTTATTCAGATATCGATTAACGGTCACTAATCTCTACACATTTCTAAATGAAAAAGGTGTTTTTCTAAAGTATCTCATCTTGACCGCTCCTCACATCAACACATTATGAAACAATGGGTCACTAAGAAACACATACGTAAAAATATTTATATTGTGGTAGGGGTACTTTTTGTAATTAGTTTTTTGTATGTACACGTACATTTTATGGGCCCTACGAATTTGTAAAATGTTATGCTGATCAGAGCTGAACTTTCTTCTACACAATGCATTCGAAAACCACCGTTTCTAATTTGAGGGGACGACGAGGCAGATCCAAGGGCGTGGATGGGGGCGAAAATGGGAAAGAACAATGAGAATTTCTCGAAAATAATGGTCGGACGGAAATGGTGTATTATTCCAAAATGATGTTTTTCTCCTACCCAAGTCAGGTGGTATTTTCCCCACTCTTCCTATTCCCATCTCATCGTTTTTTTTTGTCCCCCTGGGGGTGTTCAACCAACCCAAATTGATACTTATCCAGGTACTAAAAATATGATAACTTACATTTTTTGATCCTACCTATAAAATAATGTTTAGTAATCGTATTCAATCCGTTTTCAAGATGGATGGTCAAATATTATTGTCTATTGTTAAAATACAACGATTCATTATAAACGGAAAAGTGCTTAATAAGTATGAGCCGGAGAATCAGGAGAACTTTAATTGGGTAAAATTTTTTATAAGTTAATTGTTCTAGGGTTTGGAAAGCTAATTGAGACATTAATGACGTTGTGTTGCCTGTTTAAAAAAACCCTTCAACACACTTCATGACACGAACCTTCAACAAACTTCATTGTTTTTAAGAAACTGCTTAATAAATAACACAGACTTCTCTCAATAGATTGTTGTTTTAAATAAAATAATGTAGGTAAAGAAACTCAAATTAATGGATCGATTTACAGATTGTTTTGTTTTTGATTTTTCAG